TGCGTAGACTGGACTAGTAGTGATCCGCCTGTTTATAGCCTCTCAAGTGCTGAGATTACAGGCATGCACCACTACACCCAGTCTCAATCATCATCACAGCGCACCCCAGGGGTGGGGCCAGCATGGCAGGGCAGGGGATAGAACTCCCGGCCCCTGTGTCTGCCTAACCAGGCGCTTCAATCCGCTGAGATATTTGGCCAGCCCAGAATCACATTTTCTGAATAAAAAATAGCTTAAATTTTTTGTGCTATTTTTGGAAGAACTGGACAATACATAATTTGGATAATGGAACAGTAAAATATCTAGGCCATATTGATAGATGATGGGAATAGAGCAGAACAAGTGAAATGAAACTCTTGAAAGTTTTCTTATGTGTCTAAGCAAGATTATGAACTGGAGGGGCTGGGGAGATAGCTCAGTGGAATAAGTGCTTCCCTGACAAGCGCCAAGGGCTTGAGTTCAATCCCCAGTTCTGTCAAAAAAAAAAAAAAAAAAATGGGGCCAAGGAGATGGCTCAGTAGGATAAGCGCTTGACTGGCAAACACAAGGATCTGAGTTCAATTCCCGGTTCCGCCAAAAAAAAAGAAAAAAAAAGGTCCCTTACTTCGTGCTGGGGAGGTAGCTCAATAGATTACGTGCTTGCCTGGCAAGCGCAACGCCCTGAGTTCAATCCCCAACGATTATGAACTGGATATGGTGGTGCATGCCTGTCCTGATGTTCAGGTAGAAAGATCATGAGTTTGAGACCAGCCTAACCACACAGTGAAACCTTGTCTCAAAAAAAAAAAAAAAAAATTACTTAAAAACCCTACCATACCTAGGGGTCAACCAGATAGCTCAGCAGACTAAAGTGCCTGCTTAGGCAGAGCCCAGCAACAGGGGTTCGATCTCCAGTGTGACCTGCCAGCCCCATCCCTGGGGTGTGCTGAGACTGCAATTGAGAATGGGCGTGGTGGTGGCACGTGTCTATAATCCCAGCTCTTGGGAGGCTGAAAACAGGAGATCTTCATAGTAAGACCCTGTAGATCCTGTATTAAATACAAAAAAACAAAAGAAACCCTCTACCATACCATATTCTATTTTCAGTCGACTTTGTTACTAAAAAATGGTTTGGGGGCTGGGAAGATGGCTCAGCAGAATAAGCGCTTCCCTGGCAAGGGCCTGAGTTCAATCCCCAGTTCTGCCTTCTGCCAAAAAAAAAAAAAAAAAATGGTTTAGGAAAGTACTTATCTGAAAGTTAGACTGCCTGGACTGACTAATAGTCTAGTTTTCAGTCAGGGCTTTTCTGCTTTTACACCCTGATCCAAACATTGGAAGTGCCCACCAGCACCTCCCTCCTCAGCCCTCCACAGAAATATCAGTGAATCTCCACAGCTGAGTTTTACTATAGCAGACTGAAGAGAAAGGTCAAGAGATGCAAATGTAGGACTGGGAAAATGGCTCAGTGGAATAAGTGCTTCCCTGGCAAGCGCAAGGGCCTGAGTTCAATCCCTGGTTCTGCCCCCCCCCAAAAAAGAGATACAAATGTGATATAAAAGGTGACCTGAGGGGCCGGGGAGATAGCCCAGTAGAATAAGCGCTTGCCTGGCAAGTGGAAGGGCCTGAGTTCAAGCCTTGGTTCCACCAAAAAAAAAAAAAAAAAAATCCAGAAGTGCCTAAGGTGACCAAGTCAATGAATACAACTACTTTGGGGATGAGAATCCATTTGTGGAGATTTCTGTGCCTTGACAGAATATAAAGTAGCAACCATGAAAGAGTCCCTATTGAGAGAGCATTTTTTTTTTTTTTTTGCATTTTAGGGAAGGGCCTACAGGGTGTTCAGGGCCTCACTACTAGATCGGACTCGTAGTGATCCACCTGTTTACAGCCTCCCAAGAGCTGGGATTACAGGGGTGCGCCACTACACCCAGTCTCAATTGCCAACTCAATTCTTCCCCCCAACCCCCAGGGTGGGGCCAGCACGGCAGGTCCACGTATGGAACCCCCGGTCCCTGCACCTACTTGCAGGCGCTTTAATATGCTGAGCTATTTGGCCAGCCCTCTGAGAGAGCCATCTTTTCTTTCCTTTTTTCTTTTTTTGAACAGGGCCTCAGGTTGACCTTGAACTTAACATAACCCAAGCTAGCCTCAAATTTGTGTCAATCTTCCTGCCTCAGCCTCCTGAGTGCTGAGATTAAAGGCATATACCACCATGCCCAGCTCAAAACCATCTTTCTAACAGAGCACCTGCCATGTCTCTCTGGAATAGAGACAAAGCTGAGAGAGGCAGGAAAAAATGGGATAAAGTCAAGACCTTGCATTTCTCATGTGGTAAAAGAAACTTACGTTAGGTGAAAGACTTCAAGCCAGTCTTGAAATCCACATATGCAGGAGTCTACTACAGGATATCTACACAGAAACAGGCAGGCAGACTCTTGGGGGCCTAGGACAAGGGCAGGTGAGGGATGGGAATGTGGCTGCTGACATGTGCAGACTTGGGGGAGGGGTGCTGAAGACATTCTAACACTGATGGTAGGACAGCTGTATGATTCTGAAATATCTAACATTGCTGCCATAAACTGTATACTTTAAATGGCTGTATTTTATGGCTTATAAAAAACTACTTATTGAGCTGGGTGTCATAGCAAACACCTCTAATCCCAGCGCTCAGGGGGCTGAGGCAAGAAGATCACTGGAAGTTTGAGAACATCTGGGGTGCAAAGCAGTGAGCTCAAGGCCAGCCTAAACTGCACAGTGAGACCTTGTCTGTAAAACACAGAAAAAAAAAGTTATTGGTTTGTCTAGTATTTTATATAATACTCCATATCTTTAAACTGCTAATACTCTCTTGGACAAAGTTTAAGGTTAATGACTTACAGTTCCATCTCTCAGTGCCCTCCTCAGTAGTCTTGCCTGACTAAGAGGCCACTATTTATTTTGGGTTGCAGGAGTTAGATAAAAAAAATTCAAAAAATTATAGAGGCAAATGGTAAAAAGAAAGATGGGGCAGAGTTAGATTGCAGGTTCACAGAATCAGGCTTTCAAAGACTAAGTTGGGTTTTATGACTTCCTGAAGGTTTTGTTTGTTTGTTTTTTGTGGAACTGGGGATTGAACTCAGGCCCTTGTGCTTGCCAGGGAAGCGCTTATTCCACTGAGCCATTTCTCCAACCCCATCCTTGGGTTTTATGACTATGTTGAAAGATTTCTTAAAATGTCCTAGGCTAAAGCCTCCTTTTTTTTGGAAACTGGGTCTCATTACACAGGGCAGCTTGAATTTGCTTGTGTAGCTCAAGCTGGTCGGGAACTCACAGGGATCCTCCTGCTTCAGCCTCTTCAGTGCTAGGATTAGACATTTACCACACCCAGGTTTTTTTTTGTTTGTTTTTTTTTCTATTTTTGTTCTTACTCTGTAAAGTTAGGTAATAGTTTAAATTCCAAAACCAGTTGGGTGGGTAGCACATGCCTGTGATCCCAGCACTTGGAAGGCCGAGACAGGAGCATCACAAGTACAAGGCCAGCCTGGGCTATATAGTGAGATTTTTTTTCTCAAAGAACAAACCCAACAAAAAACCGAAATAGAGCTGGAGAGATAGTTCAGCAGTCTAAGCATCTGCCTGGCAAGCACAAGGACCAGGGTTTGATCCCCAGCCGAAACAGGCATGGTGGCACACACCTGTAATCCCAGTGCTGAGGAAACTGAAACAGGAGGATCACTAAGAGTCTGAGCTGCGTAGGAAACCCTGTACCAAATACATAAAAATAAACAAACAAAACAACATAAATGCCAAAGCCCAACCCAGAAACAAATAAAGAGAACCTTACATCATTCCGGTCTTTGGTCAGTCTTTCCTCCAGCTCCTGTGCTAACTGCAAAAGCCACCACAGGACCTAAAAAGGTATTATTATTGTTAATCTAGGTCTCTAGATAGTGGATTTGTTCAGTTCTAACTCAAAGGGATCTATGTAAAATGGTTCCCCCACAACCATGTCATCAGAATCCCAGTACTATCCTGCCTGAGTCTAAGTTAACTTCCTTTTTCTGCTGGCATGTCATCTTGATGAATGTCAATCATTTTTCAGCTCTAAGAAAATAAAGACCTCAAACTTGAGTACAATGCTCCAGGCTTTCTACATTTCCACCTACTTGCTGGGTGCAGTGGTTCACATTTGTGAGCCTAGCACAAGGGTAAGAAGAAGAGTTTAAGGATAGCCTGGGCTGTATAGAAAGACCCTGCCTTAAAAAAAGTTTATCCCTTAAAAACAAAACAAAACAAACCCTGAGAAACTTCAATTCTATTTTGGCTTTTTTTTTTTCATTATTATTTTTTATTTATTCGGTACAGGGTCTTGCCATGCAGCTAAGACTCATAGGGATCCTCCCCAGCACTGGGATTATAGGCATGTGTCACCATGCCTGGTTTCGGTGGCCAGCACAGCACACCCAGGGTTCTGGGGCCAGCATGGCATGTGGTACTGGAGACTGAACTTCGGTCTGGTGCTTGCCAGGCAGGCACTAAGAATGCCAAGCTATCTCCCCGGCTCTGTTTATTTTTAAGGCAGGGATGTGTTATGTATTTCATGCTGGCCTTGAACCCACTATGTAGCCTAGGCTGCCTTCAAACTCAAGGTGATCTTCCTCCCTCAGCCTCCCAAGTACTGGGATTATGAAAATGTACTACCATACCCAGCTTACTTTTTTTATTAGTTGAAAGAAAAGGATAGGGCTCGGAAGATAGCTCAACAGCCTAAGCACCTGCCTGGAAAGTGTAAGGTCTTGAGTGTGACCCCTGGTACCACAAAAAAAAAAAGTAAGAGACAAAAATGTAAATCCCAAGTTAAGCAAATCAATTTCAAAACAAAAAATAAACTTTTGACCTATTAAACTTCAAGACAGACTTGGGGACACATGCCTGTAATTCCAGCACTCTGAGAAACTTGGAGGAACACAAGTTTGAGCCCAGCCCAGGCAATTTAGTGAGACCCTGTCTCAAACCAAATTAAACAAGAAAACCCCCAAATATATTCTGAAGTTTCCAAAATCTATCCACTAACCCCTTTAAAAGAGACAGCATTAGACGGGCATGGTGGTGCATGTCTGTAAACCCAGCACAAAGGAAACTGAGGCCAGAGAGTTCAAGGCCAACCTGAACTACATAGTGAGACCTTGTCTCAAAAAAAACAGAAACAAAACAAAACAAAAAACCCAAAAACAGAAAAGAGACTGCATTGAGCTGGATGTGGTGACAGATGCCTGTATTCCTAGTTACTCAGGAAGCTGAAACCAGAAGATTGCAAGTCTGAGGTCAGCTTGAGGAACTCAGTGACATGCTACTGCAAAACAAAAAGGGGCTAAGATGCAGCTCAGAGGTAGTGCTCCCCTGGGTTCAATCCCTAGCACCACCACCACCACCACCACCACCACCACCACC